CTCGCTGCCACGGGCTGGTCCGCCTCGGAAGGCAGATCACGGTGGGCCCTGGGAGGGGCCCAGGGACCCCTTTTGAGCAGACGCGGGCCAGAAGGAAGTGCCCCTGGTGCCTCAAGCAGCCCTATTCCGATCCTCTCTCTCCGAGGCGACTGGTTCAGGGCGGGGGCATCGGCACGGAAGGGGCGACGCCTCGCCGATTCATCGGCAACCGGCCCCCACGGCGAAGCCGCACGCTTTTGGGCGTGGTGGGCTATCAGGCCGCGATCGGCGATGAATGGGCGATGGGGAGTCGACGCATCCCCCCCCCACGACCCTATCCCTCTAACGTGGCCCCTGAGGGTGAGGAGGAGGAGGAGGAGGAGGAGGAGGAGGAGGAGGAGAGGAGGAGGAGGAGGGGGGGAAAGGGAAGGGAAGGAGGCGGGCTACCAGCGCGAGCCCGGACCTGCCTCCCCCCGCCAGCTCGAGTGAGCGGTGGCTGGCGACCGCTCGGATGGGGGCCGGGGGGCATGGGGTTAAGTGGGGCCTGTCCCCCTACAGGGAGTTTTCGACGAGATATATATATATATATATATATATATATATATATATAAACCAAACAAATAACCAAAACATAATGTAAAAAATAGTCTGGGGACTATTGTTTGACTATTTTCTTACCTTTTGGGGGCATTTGGGGGGCATGTTTGGAAAATGTTTTATGTTTCGTCGAAAATCCCCCTGTAGGGGACACGCCCGACATAAGCATGGGGAGAAGGATGGGAGAGCCTCGGGGAGGGGAGAAGGAGCGAGGACGGAGGAAGAAACCACTGCATATACATAAACGTTTGACGCTCCGCGGGGATTTCGTGGATCTGCGTGGGACCCGCCTTCCCGGCGCGCGCGCCCCCCCCTAAGCGGCGCCAGAGGCGCTGCCAGGGGGGCTCCTGCGCCGATCCGAGAAATCCGCGCGGACCGTCGAACGTGTCTGTTGATGCAGTTTTTTGTTCCTTCTTCTTCTTCTTCTTCTTATTGTTCTTCTTCTTCTTCGACGAGAGAGAGAGAGAGAGAGGAGGGGGCGAGCCTGGGGGGAGGGTAGGAACGGGGGGAAGGGGAGAACGGGAGCGACGGGGAGCGGCAGCAGGCCCGCGCGGCTCCTGCCGACGCGCCCAGCGCAGCCCCGGAGGGCTCCGGTGAACATCCCGCTCCGGAGGCTCTCGCCGACGGCCGCAGCAGCCCCCCGCCTCCTGCTCCCTCCCCGCCCCCTCGCTGCCACCGCCGGCCACCGCCCTCCCTCGGGCCCTCTCCGTCCCTCCCCCCTCCTGCCCCTCCCCCCCCCCCCCCCCTGGTCACCTCCGCACCTCCTCACCCCGTCCTCTCCCTCGGCCACCCCTCCCGCGGGACTTCGTGGCGGCCCGCTCTCGCCACGACCGCCTCGAGCCCCCTGTGGCTGTGGACCCAGGGCCGCTGCCCGCGCCACCGCCCGAGGCTCCAGTCCGCCGGCACCGGCCAGACGTCTCCGCCTCCTCGTCACTCCTCGTCACTCCTCGTCACTCCTCGTCACTCTTCCTCCTCCTCCTCCTCCTCCTCCTCCTCCTCCTCCTCCTCCTTCGGCGTCGGCGGTTTCGGCGTCGTCGTCGTCGTCGTCGTGGTCGTCGTCCTGGCCGTGGTGCGTGCTGCCCTGCCCGGGAACTCTGCTCCTTATCCGGTCACCACCACCGCCCTCCTCCTGCTGCCTCCCTCCCCTGCCCTGCCGGGCACCCCGAGCCCCGACCCGAAGAGACACCTCGACTGTCGCTCTGGCGCCAGCGGGGTGCCCCGCTGCCGCGGCGATGCGCCCGGGCGGCGCCCGACGCCGCCACCTTTTGTCGCAGCTCTCCTCGCGGCAGGACTGTGGCGCGGCGCAGAGGAGGAGCACAAGGGGGGCCGGGGAGGAGGGCCATAGAGGGGCAGAGGGGGAAGGGCAACCTGGGCGCGCTCGCGCCACGTGTGGCACCCTGCCCTTCCCACCCGTCCCTAACCCACTGCGCCGAGGTACTCCCCGTCCGCAAAACGGCCCCGTCGTGCTCATTGCGCGCAGTCAGATGGGGGGCCATGTGCACATGAAGGAGGAGGAAGAGGAGGAGGAGAAGGAGGAAGAGGAGGAGGGGGAGGCGGAGGTTGCGGATGAGCAGGATGATGAGCTGAAGGGCGAGGAGGAGGAGGAGGAGGAGGAGGAGGAGGAGGGGGAGGGAAGAAAAAGAAGAGGGACAGCGGGCATAAAACGTGAGTCGCTGAGTGACAAGGGGAAGGCGGACGAGGTAAAGAAGGGGGCGGCAAAGACGAGGAAAGAATCGGATCCAACCGTGCGGCCCCCGCAAAGACATGCACCCAGATATCCAGAGGCACCACCAACATCCTCAGCGCCATGATCAGGGTCCGCCAAATCAGTTTGTGCAGTAGCACCTGAACTACCAAGAATGGCGACACGACCAGCGCCATCACCAGCGTGGTCTGCGTCCGCATCCTCGATCACAGGAACGTTCGGCCACCCGGCGGGTTGCGCGCTCGGCGCCAGGGCAGGCCGCTGCACCAGTGGCGCATCCTCTGCTAGCGCCTGCTGCAGCTCGCCAATCTGCTGGACGACAGACTGTCGGGCGACGCCCAAGAACTCGAAAGCACCGCGGCCAAGCACCAGAACGTCGGGCCGAGCACGGGCGGCTTCACTTGCAGGCGGCGCACCTGCAGCACGGGCGGCTCGGCGTAGCACACCTCCACTCTGCACTCCACGGGATCCGCCGTTTGCACTCTCTGGCTCTCCTCGACCTGCTGCTGCATCACTGGGCCCCCCAGGCGCGGCCCGTACCGCGCCTGACGGAGCACGTGGGCGCACGCCCCCAGCAAGCGCTTCCCCGGAGCCGCCGCGTGCAGCCCGAAATTGCGCCGCAGTTCCTGCAACCAGGCAGACCTTCGTCCTTCAACGGGTGCATTAAGTGGAGGAAGAAGACAATGGACGCGAGCGCAGATGTCGTCGTCGCAGGAGAGGGTGACCAGCGCGCCTTCTGCCTCTGTCGCCCGCCTCTCCGCTTCTGCCACCCGCCACCGAAGGCGAGCGAACCAGGCGATCCCCGCCGAGGCTCGGGCTGCCGCAGAGCAGCGTCCGGCCAGCCCTGCCCGCACTGCCCGCTCGGCCCGCACAAGCCGAACCGAGATGGCACCCGCAGTCGTCCCGCTTGAGCACCCCGCCTGCCGCCGCCGCCGCCAGGACACGCCGAGCGCGGCCGAGGAGGAGGACGAGGTGAATGAGCCTGAGCCAAAATGACTGCGGAGGAGGGGGGAGGGGGGAGGACGAGGAGGCAGAGGACGAGGGGAGGACGAGAATGGCTACGGAGGAGGGAGGAGGAGGACGGGGAGGACGAGAGGGGGAGGACGAGAAGGGGGACGAGGCGAAGGAGCCTGGGCCAAAAGGGCTACGGAGGAGGGGGGGCGGGGGGAGGACGAGGAGGCAGAGGGGGCAGAGGAGGGGGAGGAGCGGGGGCACGAGGGAATGTGGAGGCGAAGCAAAAGGGGGAGGAGTGGGAGGAAGGGGAGGGGGAGGAGGAAGGGGAGGACGGAGAGGAAGAGGGGGGGGGAAGGGGAGGAAGGGGAGGGGGAGGAACGGGAAGGGGAGGGGGAGGAAGGCGAGCTAGGTGCGTTCGCGTCATATCTGACGTCCTACCCCTCTCTCCCATCCTTTACCATGGCATAGAGCTCCTCTCTATTCGCACAGTCGGAAGTCGTAGCGGGGCATGGCATTCCATGGCATAGCATGGTGTTGGAGATCAACGCGTAGCCTGACATAACATGGCGTGGCGACGCCCCAAAGTGGGGGGGGGGCTTCTGCGGCCCCAGAAATCAACGAATCGGCACCGAATGTGGAATCATTTCCGATGGTTTTTTCGGGGGGGCCTGTTCCTAGATTTGGGGGTTGATTTGGCAGGACTCAAAACCATGCCGTGGCATGGCGCTCGAAATGATGACACCAGCGCTGCAGCGGGAGCACGATTCGGAACGAGCGGAAACGCGGAAATGAGGCCAGCGATGCAGCGGGAGCACGATTCGGAACGAGCAGTGTGCCGAAAATGAAGCCAGCGCCTCAGCGAGAGCAGCGTTCTGAACAAAACAAAAACAAACAGAAAACAAGCGAAAACCCAATTCCGGGGAATATTGTATGTAAAAACCCTATACGCGGAGAGGGGCCGGCGATTTCCCGGACGTCACCAGGGGAGAGAGGAGAGTAGCATTCATAGTGTGCATTTGTGGAGAGGAGGAGGGGTCAAAAGGGGAGGAGGGGAGGAGGGAGGGGGAAGGAAGAGGAGGAGGAGGGAGGTAGGTGCGCTCGCGCTATATCTGGCATCCCACCCCTCCCACACATCCCTTCCCATTGCGCTGCGTGTTTCTCTACCTACCGACGCGTGCCATGGCGGACCTGGAATTTCAGAGAGGACCCGATGGTGCGATCTGCAATCGGAAAAAAAGCTGGGTACGTTGGAGGAGGAAGTGGCGGATGAGCAGGAGGATGAGCAGGAGGAAAATATTGATGAGGAAGGAGGACGCGGACGAAGAGACACAGGATCTGTAGTGGAAGGAGCGGGAGGAGCAAGAGGACCAGCGAAAGGCGGAGGAGGGAAAACGAGGGGGGCGACAACGATGAAAAAGGACTCGGATCCAGAACAATGACCCCCGCGCTTGACTAGTAAGGCATTCTGAACAGCGGGAGCAAATCACCGATCCGAAAATAAGGCCCACGCGGCAGCGGGAACACACATCTGAAGCACCGAAACAAATCGGATTCCTGAAAACAGAAACGTAGGGACATCCAACTCTGAAGACCTGTGTGCAAGAACCGTACGCGGAGAGGGCCGAACAGCTTCCGACCAGAGTGAGGGGAGAGGAGGAGCATAAGATTCAGAATGTGCAATCGTAGACAGGAGTGGCACCGAGATGGAGAGGGTGGAGGGGCGCGGAGGACAAGGAGCCCGCGCGGCGTCGAGACCGCGGGGGCCTCACATGGGCGGGGCGCCCCCGTGGTACTGGGGCGCCTCGGGCCACTGGTCGGCGCCGTCCTGCTGCTGGTGCGTGCCGCGCTGCATGATCTTGTAGGTCACGTCGTCGGGCACCAGGCCGCTGGCGCTCATGGCCTCGAAGAGGTGGTAGCCCAGCGGCACCTTCCCCCGCTTGAAGCACAGGCTGATCAGCATGTTGTAGGTCACGACGTCCGGCTCGAGGCCCTGCGCCTGCAGCAGGTTGAGCAGCTGGAGCGCCCTCTCCAGCTGCCACCCCTGGCTGCAGGCGCTGATCAGGGCGTTGTACGTGATCACGTCCGGGAGCAGGCCCTGCTCCTCAAGGGAGAAAAGGATGCCAACACCGCTGCCCTTCCCTTCGTCGCCGCGGCTGGCTTCTCCTCGAGAGCCTGGTCAGACCGCACCCAGGCAGGGGGCCGTGGCGTGGCAGCATCGGCATCTTCTCATACCCTCAGCTCCTGCATCACCTCGAACATCTCCAGCGCCTTGTCGGGCAGGCGGCTCTTCTGACAGGCGCTGATTAGCGAGTTGTACGTGATGACGTCGGGCGCGATCGTCTTCACCTGCATTTTCTCGAGGAGCTCCACCGCCTTGCCCGCCTGCTTGCACTTCTCGCAGGCGGCGATCATGGCGTTGAAAGTGATGACGTCAGGCTCCAGGCCACGCTCCTGCAGCGGCAGGAGAAAGGAGAGGCTGGAAAACAAATCGGCAGGAAGAGGAGGCTAATGTAAGGCCGCACGCAACAGGACGAGAGGGAAGGGGCACGCATGGTCTCGCAAACGTGCCGTGTCGTATTCTCCGCACGGTCTCCTCAACTCACAGAATCCCCCCCCAAACACTGCCCCCCCTGCTAATCGTCCTCACCAACTCATCCCACGACTTCTCACTGATACCTCCCTTTACCAACTCCCCCAGACCAATTTCACAGGTAAATTCCTCGACTTTCCCTCCTTCCTGCGGCCTCAAGCTACACCAACCTGCACTCGGACCCAGGAACAGAGTGAAAGCCGATGGGGCACAATCACCATCTGTCTGACAATAAGGAGGACCAAGACGACGGCGAACAACGAGAGCGACGGAAATGATTGTGATGCCTGCGGGGAGAAGGAGGAGGAAGAGGCTGCGGACCTGCATCTGCTGGAACAGTTCCTCTGCCCTGTCCAGCAGCCTCCCCTTCTCGCAGGCCGATATGAGGGAGTTGTACGTGATGATGTCGGGGCTAGTCCTCTGGGCTTCCATCTCCGTGAGGAGCTCCAGCGCCCTCTCGGGCCTCTTGCCCTTCTCCAGCCCGCTGATCACGGAGTTGTAGGTGACCACGTCGGGCACGAGCTCCTGCCTCTGCATGAGCTCCAGGAACTGCAGGGCCACGTCCGGCTGCTTCGCGCGGTCGAAGGCGCTGATGAGGGTGCCGTACGTGATGACGTCCGGCATGATCCGCTGCCCGATCATCACCTGGAAGAGCTCCAGGGCCTTCTCCGTCTGCCCGCAGGCCTTGCAGGCGCTGATCAGGGCGCTGAAGGTCGTCACGTCGGGGCAGACCTGCTGCCCGCACATCAGCTGCAGCACCTGCAGGGAGGGCCGTCAGAATCATGCTCGTCCTCCTCCTCCTCCTCGCCCCTACACCTCCTCCTCCTCCCCCCCTCCTCGCCCCTACACCTCCTCCTCCTCCTCCTCCTCCTCCTCCTCCTCCTCCTCCTCCTCCTCCTGCTCCTCCTCCTCCTCCTCCTGCTGCTCTTAGTGGCAGCAGCGCCACCTGCAGCGCGCTCTCCAGCTGGTTCGCCTTCTCGTAGGCGCTGATGAGTGCATTGTAGGTGATGGTGTCTGGCCTGGGGAGGGGGAAGGATAGGATTGGATAGGATGGGACCGATTGCGAAGCGAAGTCACGTTACCACCCTCGAACTGAGACGAGCGTAGGAGAGAATAGGTGTGGCGGGAGGTTCGAGGAGGAAATTCGGAACTCGGTGCCGGCTCATCGACAGTCGGCAGAAAGGAAGAGAGGAGAACCCCTCAATCACTCCTTGAAGCAAGAGAGGATCCCCCCCGTCGAGACGGCCTGCCTCAGAGCCCGCCTGTAGCGGGCGGTGGCACGGCGCGCCTCGATCTCCGCCAGCACCCTCACGCGCCCCATCGTCGTCCTCCTCCTCAGCTGTCGTTCCCTTCTCCCCCTCGTCCTCCTCTTCCTGCTGAACCTCCTCCCCCTACCCCCCCTTATCTCTGCGTATCCCCACCCACCCATTCCCAAGATTCCTCCAGCCTGTTGTGCGTCCTCCTCCTCCTCCGCCTCCTCCTCCTCCCAGGACTCCTCCTCATCCTCCTCCTCATTACCCCCTATCGTGCTCATCCTCATCCTCATCCTCATCATCATCATCATCATCATCATCATCAACATCATCATCATCATCATCATCATCATCATCAGCATCATCATCATCATCATCATCATCATCAGCATCAGCATCAGCATCATCATCACCATCATCACCATCACCATCATCAGCATCACCACCACCACCACCATCTTCATCATGAACATCATCATCATCAGCATCATCATCATTATCAACATCATCATCATCATCATCAGCAGCAGCAGCATCATCAGCATCAGCATCATCATCAGCAGCAGCAGCTTCATAAGCATCATCATCAGCATCATCAACAACAGCAGCACCAGCATCATCAACACCACCATCAGCATCAGCATCGTCAACATCAGCATCATCGTCATCGTCATCGTCAACAGCATCACCATCAGCATCAGCATCAGCATCAGCATCAGCATCAGCATCATCATCATCATCATCAGCATCATCATCATCATCATCATCATCATCTCCAGCATCATCAGCATCATCAGCATCATAATCAGCATCATCACCGTCAGCATAATCAACATCACCACCATCGTCATCGTCAGCAGCAGCAGCAGTACCATCTTCAGCATCATCAGCATCGTCAGCGGCAGGATCATCATCAGCATCAGCGTCAGCAGCATCATCATAATCAGCATCATCCGCATCGTCAGTGCCATCACCATCATCAGCAGCATCAGCAGTATCGCCATCCTCCTCGACATCGTCATCGCCATCGTCATCAACACCAGCATCATCACTATTAGCATCAGCATCAACAACATCATCAGCAACATCATGATCATCAGCAGCATCACCTCCATCATCATCATCAGCATCAGCATGACCATCAGCATCAGCATCATCATCTTCATCAAGAGCAGCAGCAGCACCACCATCACTGTCGTCACCATCAGCAGCAGCAGCATCGTCATCGTCACCATCGTCATCATCACAATCACCATCACAATCATCATCACCAGCAGCATCAGCATCGTCGTCGTCATCACCAGTATCATCATCATCATCATCATCATCATCATCATCATCATCATCATCATCAGCTTCAGCATTATCACCAGCATCAGCATCATCAGCATCATCGCCAGCACCATCAACATCATCAGCACCAGCATCATCATCAGCAACAACGGCAACAGCAGCACCGTCAGCCTCTCCTCTTCCCAATGACTGCTGCTGACCCTTCTCCTCCAGCTCCTACATCCCCCTGCCATTCATCCTCACCACCATCCTCCGCCTTCTTCTGCTAGAGGTCACTCCTGATCCCCAACCCCCTTCTCCAGCTCCTCCTCATCATCATCATCATCATCATCATCATCATCATCCTCATCCTCATCCTGCTCCTCCTCTTCCTCCTCCCGAACCTCCTCCTTCTCCTTCTCCTCCTCCTTCTCCTCCTCCTCCTCCTCCTCGTTCTCCTCCTCTTTCTCCTTCTCCTCCGCCTCCTGATCCTCCTCCTCTTACTGCTTCCTCTCCTCCTCCTCCTCCTCCTCCTCCTTCTCCTCCTCCTCCTCCTCATCCTGCTCCTCATTATGCTGCTATGTACCCCTCCACCCCCCCTCCACCCTCTCCTGCGCCACCGCATCTCTAAATGGTCCTCCGCATCCTCGTCGTTCCCCGCCACCTCCTTCGCTTCCTTCCCTAACCCTCCACTTCCCCTTAGTGATCTTCCTCTTCCCCCGCCCACTTTCCTCTCCTCCTCCTCCTCCTCTTCCTCCTCCTCCTCCTCATTCTCCTCCTCCTCCTCCTCCTCCTCAATTCCTTTTTTCCTTATAAATAACTTCACCCTGTCGCACCCCGAGGCCAGTTTTTAGGGCGGGCTGGGCGTGTCGCCCGAGACTTCCTCATCACTTATGATTCTGAAACTTTAAAACTGACAACAGTTTCACAGATGCTGGGCGGGTGGTCTTCAAAATGTGGCTCTCGCATTAGCGCGGCGAAAATTCGTTTGACAAATTTGGAAGAACTTCACGGAATGAGGGCGGGTGGTTTTCAAAACGTGGCTCTCGCCTTAGCGCGGCGCACATTCGTTTCAAAAACTTGCAAGAGATTCACGGATTGAGGGCGGGTCGTTTTCGAAATGTGGCTCTCGCCTTAGCGCAGCGCACATTCGTTTTGAAAGGCTTGCAACAATTTCACGGATTGAGGGCGGATGTTGTTCAAAATGTGGCTCTCGCCTTAGCGCCGCGCACATGTGTCTACAACATGTTCACGTGTTTCACGGATTCCCATCATCACCGTACCAGAAATTGTGCTTTGGAAGGAGTGTGGATTATGCGGGCGCTACAGTTACGTTGATTCTCTGTGTTGGAGTCCTAGAAATGGCGTTCTGGCGCGATTCAGTCAAGACGCAGCAGTCAGGTTGATCCGTGGCGTTGGAATCCCGAGAACAATGTTTTGGCAGGCTTTAGGGTCTTCAAACGGGAGTCTTCCAGCGAGGCAGTTCCCTAAATGGAAATAAACCGTTGTAGGGGCCTATGGAGAGGGAGCCTGGAGGGAGGGTTTACTCCAACATCGTTGATGACCCTTGGGCTTGCACTGCTCCTCCTCATCCTCCGCCTCCGCCTCCTCCTCCTCCTCCTCCTCCTCCTCCCCCATCTAATCATCTTCATCTTCCCCCTCCCCCTTTCCCGTCTTCCTCTTCCTCCTCCTCCTCGTTGCGATCTGTTTCACTTCCCAGGCAGACCGGAGCATCCGCTGCTGCATCATCTGGAACAGCTGCAGGGCCTTGTCGAGGACGAGAGGAGGAGGAGGAGTCAGGAGGTGGAGGGGACCTGGGAGAAGGAGGGAGGGGAGGAGAAGAAGGAGGAGGAGGTCGCGAAGAGGAGTAGAAGAGGAAGGACGAGGAAAGTTGACGAGGACAGGATAAGGAGCAGGAGGAGGTCCTCCTCCCTGGCACTTGTCCTCCCCCTCCTCCTCCTTAGGAGCAGGAGGGATAGAAACAGGATGACGAATGCCAGGGAGGAGGAGAGAGGAGAGAGAATATCCGCCACCGTACCTTCCCGTCGAACGTTGGGGCGTGTCAGAGGGCGTGCCAGACTGCAGAACTGTCGTCTGGTATGGTTTCTGTTGTTTTTTTAAGCCACGCCCTCCCCCCCTCCCCCCCCCTCCACTACTCGCACGCACCCTTTGAAAATCGTCCCTCCCCGGTGTGGCTTCCTGGAGCCCTTCCCAGCAGCCTTTGGACGGCCTCAAAACGGCGGTACACCGCCCAAAGCGGCTGCATGAGAAAGCCAAGACCACCTTACGCCGGCCCAGTGAACTCCCAAGGGCTCTAAGATTTCCCCCAAGATGCCTCAAGAAGTCAAATTAGCCCTCAAGAGACGCCCGAAGAGGCTCTAGAGCGGCCCGACGGGACGACAATTATGGGAAAACCTGGGAAGCACAAAGCCTTGTCTGCCTGCGAAGCTCTTCTGGTTTACAGTCTGTAGTCGCTTCGGGAAAATTAGGGTGTCCCAAGAAGCCCTCGAGAACGCCCAGCGTTGCCCCTAACAGAGACCATATGCAGCACGACGACTGCCCCAAAAATCTTCCGAGACGGCCCACTTGGGTTCCAAGACGCGCGCGGACATCCCCTAGATGGTTCGACTGAGCCTCTTCCAGAAAGCTCTTTGGAACCATCGCGCCCAAAATGACCCCGAGACCCCAGAGAGGCCCCCTTCCGAGCCCGCAACGAGCCACAGACAGGCCCCTGACAGGGCCCCAACAGGCCCCATGAGGACCCTGCGAGGTCCCCAAAAAGCGTCCAGGATGCCTTCGAGAGGGGAAGGGAGGGGGGGAGTAAAGGAGAAAGTAAGAGGAGAACGAGACTGCGGACGGGAGGGGACGCTCACGAACATCGCCGATTCAAACTGAGCACTGAACTGAAGCAGGTTCTAAACTCAGCCTCCTTAGTGCTGCGATGCTGCGCTGGCGGGGTTTGCCGCAGTCAGCTGGATGGAGGACGAGAAACATGTTAGTGACCCAGCGAGGCAAAAGAGTAACGGATAATAGGATGCTGATGCTGATGATGATGATGATGATGCTGGTGATGGTGCTGATGATGATGATGATGATGATGATCCACGCGTCTAAAGAGGCCAGGAGCTCCTAGCTCGCACTGCCTCTCGGACCGAAGCGTTTCCCTCTGGCCCTGCGGCGGCTACGCTCGGTCTCGTGCGCCTCAGCGCACCCTCACAGATACACCTGGGTGCCAAGAGGCCGCCCACCGCCCCAGTCGAAGCAAGCGGTAGCACGGCATCTGAGCAGCCACGGCGACTCAGCCCGCTACAGCAGCACACGCGCGCCAAAGCAGAGCAACGCAGTCCCCAAGGCTACTGGCCGCCCACTGGACAACCTTGCTCTGCGATTGCGTTCGGAGGCGATCCAGAGAGTCGGTAGCAAGCCACCTACCCCCTCGGTTCGGCCCCCGCCCTGGCTCGAGAACAGTGCACAAGACAGGCGGGCTGGTACGCAGCAAAGCTGAAGAACGCAAGCGCCACTTGACGTGCCAAACGGCACGGACAGACCAGCGCAGTGAGCCCAGAAGGGCAGGAGTGAGTGAACCCTGACGTGTGCCGAGCCCCGAAGGGCACGGCCTACGCCACGGGGTCCTTCTCCCCTCGAAGCTCGCCAGCTCGTCGCAGGCATTCGTGATCCTCGGACCCACCTGGCGCCGCAAGCACACGGCACCGCGCTCGGCAGACCGATGGGTCCCAAGCCGCAGGGTGCCACAAGTGCTTTAAGGCAGATGCCGCGCGAGCGCGGCAGAAGAAAGTTGAGAAAGCTGTCGGGACAGATCGCGCCCGTCAGCGCCTGCCGCGCGCCTCGCGGGCTGCGCGCAGCTTGGCGCCCAAGGCGGCGCGAACCCCAGCTACCAGCCCGTTGTATCTGGCCCGCAGCGCCGCGAGCTCCGCCCGCTCGGAAGGGAACTGCTGCTGCTCCTCGGGCTGCTCGGAGTCGCGCTGCTGGTTGGCGTCGGACTGATGCTCGGAGACCGCCTGGGTGCCCACGCGCATCGGCGTCTCGGCGAGAGCGGGCTCCGATGTAGTTTTGTCCTGGGCCTCCGACTCCTGCTCCTGGACCCGCTGGGAGTCCGCCCACGTGCACTCCTCCTCGAAGTGAACCTCCCTCGTGGGGCCCGCGGAGCCGATCCCGACCTTCTCCTGGAGGTCCTGCTGTGCAACACCTGGCTGCATGCGCCCGTCGTGCTTGACAGTGTACTCCGACGGGTCAATGCCAAGAGGCTCATCATTTGCAGCCTCATCATCATCGGCCGAGTCCCTCTCACACTCCACCCCCTTCACCGCAGTGGTCGGCGGGCAGGCGCTGGGTGCCTTCGGGCCGCCATCTCGCCCGAGCTCCTCGAGCCTCCACTGCCACCGCTGCGCGCCAGAGGCGAGGGTGGAGGAACCGCCTCGGGCGCCGACCCCACACGATCCGCCAGGACGAAGGCAGTGCCGCGGGTCGCGGCCCTCCCCCGCCTCGCAGCCGTTCTCCATGCTGTGTACGTGGCGGGCTCGGCTGCCTCCGTCGCCCTGAGTGCCTGCGCGCTCGCCGGTACGGCGGCCGACGCTGTCGGTCCTTCCCGCGTGGGCCGACGGCCGCGCCTCCGCCGCCGCCTGACCGACGCTGGTTTGGTGGGGCTCGACGCCGCGCCACCGCCAGCGCCCAGGTCCGCGTCCGTGCACTCCTCGTACTCGCCCTCGTCCTGCGCATCGCTCGGCTCGTCGTGCTGGGTGCCGAGGGGCGCCTGCACCTCGCCGGGGCAGAGACCGTCCTCGCCCGTGCAGGCGTCGCCGAGGGTGTCGTCGTCGACGTGCCTGGAATCATCGTCCTGCGCTCCGTCGCCAGCGCACTTTCCGAGCTCGGGCTTGGACTCGAACCTGACCTCATCGGGACCGCTGCCGTAGCCCTCGAGCTCTTCGTCGCCGACGCCGTACTTGATCTCGTACTGGTTGTGCAGCTGCACGTGCTGCTGCTCGTCCACGTGCTGCTGGTGCCCGTCATCGTCGTTCTTCGCATCGCCGTTGTAGCCGCACTCGTCTGTGGGCGGCGCCATGCTGCAGCGCCTCGCCTCCAGGCTGGGTCGCCATCCCGCCTTAGGGGGAGGATGGCTGACAGCCCCCAGATCCGTTGGAGCGAGGGCGCCAGACCGCCCACGGCGCTGGCTGGCCTGCGGCCGCTCGAGCGCGGCCTCGAGGACCTCGGCGCCTTCACCGAGGAAGGCGTGGGCCCCGAGGTTCCGAGTCGCCCGCTCGGCGCCCGAAGCCCTCTCGCCGCGGATCAGGCGCGCCAGGGCTGGCCTGATGGCCCGAAGCCGCAGGGCGAGCTCGGCGTCCTCCTCATCGCCAGCTCCATCTGCAGCCCAGCCCCCGGTCAGCTCAGCACCGACGCGCGCCGCGGCGGCCACGGCGGCCGCGATGCCGTGCCTCGCAGCGCCCCCCGCTGCCGCGCCTTCGGCTGCCGCTCGAACCAGCGGCGCCAGGGCGGCAGCAGCGTCCAGCGCCGCGACTGCCATGAATGCCCCGAACAGCGCGAGGCTCGAACGGGCCAACTGAGGATGAAATAGCCTCAACAGCGCGAAACTCGAACGGGGAAACCGCTGCCACACCGGCGTGGCTCCTTGAGCCAAAATGGCTACGGATGATGATGCTGCTGATGATGATGCTGCTGATGATGATGCTGATGACGATGATGATGATGATGATGATGATGATGATGATGATGATGATGATGATGATGATGATGGTGGTGGTGGTGATGACGACGACAGTCATGGTGATGATGCTGATGATGATGATGCTGATGATGAGTTGTGGTGGTGGTGGTTATGATGCTGATGGTGCAAATGCTAATGATGATGGTCGCAAGTAACCCTGTGATGATGATGATGATGATGATGATGATGATGATGATGATGATGATGATGATGATGGTGACGATCATGTTGGTGGTAATGATGATGATGATGATGATGATGCTGAGGATGGTGAAAAAGAAGAGTGGCGAAGAACACGGATACGGAGAGAAACGTCAAGAAGACCTTGTCAAGCTGCCCGCCCTTCTCGCAGGCGCTCAGCAACGCGTTGAAGGTCACTACGTCTGGCACCAGCCGCTGGCCCTGCGAGTCTGATGATTTTTAAGCGGTTACTCAGCAGTAGCTGTCTGTTTGGGCACACTGATTGCGTTTTTGTTGTCTCTCTCCGTCTCTCTCTCTCTGTCTCTCTCTCTCTCTCTCTCTCTCTCTCCCTCGCTCTCTCAAATTATGCCTCTCTCTCTCTCTCCCGCTGTCTGAACGCACATAGTTACACGTATGTGTATATATATATATATATATATAGGTGTGTACATGCATATATAAACACATAGCGATCAACATAAATATGCATATAAACATCGACATGCACATATATATATACACACACATGAGATCCGACGATCCCCGCTTGCTGGGGGTGGCAAGGCGCGAGAGATTTGTTGGCTGTCCCTCTCCCCGTTTCCCCTCCCCCAGGGTCCAAAATCGCGTTTGGGGGAGGGGCAGCTGGGGGGGGGGGCACGGGCTCCTAAAGAAATCCGCGGGGGGCTTCTGGAGCCTCCAAACCTAAGAGTCTGTGGCCTCCAAGATGCTCAAGATTCCATCGAAACTTGCTGAAGCTGGGCTCCAGCACGCTGAAGAGGTCTCAGAACCACCCTGGCTAGCTACAAGGAGAGCCAGAAAGTCGCCAAGACGCCTCAGGAGGGCTCCAAAAGGACCCCCTCAAGAGGGTCTCAAGAGGCAACAATCATTCCAATCCCTGGGGGAAACGTTGAACATGAGCAGCCTTCAAGACGGCCCAGGAGGACCGCAACACAGCTCCAAAGCGGCCCCTCGAACTCTCAAGACGGCCTCAAGACGGCGCCAAGACGGCCCACGGGGGCCCCATGACAGCCCAAGGGGCGCCGAAGACGGCCCAATAGGACCCCAACATGGCCCCTCGAGGGGCCCAAGCGAATTGACCTTCCGAGCCCTCCGCCCCAAGAGGACCCCCGAGGCCGCCAGCAAGCGCCCAAGAAACCCCGGCAGGTCTCAAGAGGCCCCATCCAGGCCCCCCCAAAAGGCCTTCAGACGCCCCCAAAAATAGCCCGAAGAGGCCACATCACGATGACACCCCCTCCAGGCTTCTCGGGTCCCAAGAGGACCCCCGCCAGCCCCAAGAGGGCCGCATCGTGGGCCCATGTATTCAGGCCCGAGAGATCAGGATGGGCCCCGCGATCGCCAGAAGCTTTCTTGGTCTGGCCGCCGCCGCCGCCCCGTCGCCGCCTCGCCGCCGCCCTAGACTGCACCGCATACGTTGCACAACATGGATTGCACAACATAAATTGCACCACACAGGGTAGACAACATGTATTGCACCACCTGCGCCATAGTTTGCACCACATGGAGTGAGCAACATAGACTGCACAACATATATATATATATATATGCCTATACGACCACCCTTCGGGTGATAAGGAGGTTCGGGGGGGGGAGGAACCAACGTCTCACTCGATCGGTCTCACTATCGATCTCGCTATCGATCTCAGTATCGGTCTCGCTCGATCGATCTCCCTCGATCGATCTCACAATCGATATCACTCGATATATCTCACAATTGATCTGACTATCGATCTCACAATCGATCTCACAATCGATCTCACAATCGATATCACATTCGGTGTCACGATCGATCTCACTATCGATACCACAACCGCTCCCACAATCAACGTCATCATCATCATCAACAACAACATCAACATCAACATCATCATCACCAACATCATCATAATCGAGACACAGTCCTCATCATCAACACCAACATCATCATCATCACGGTCATCAACATCATCGGGACACCACCATCATCATCATCATCACCATCACCACAATCATCATCAACATCATCATCATCATCATCATCACCATCGGGACACAGTCATCGTCATCATCATCATCATCAGCAGCAGCATCATCATCGGGACACCACCATGATCACCATCGTTATCATCATCATCATCATCATCATCATCGGGGCACCATCATCATCATCATCATCATCTCATCCTCATCATCGACAGCATCATCATCATCAGCATCATCCACATCATCATCAGCATCATCATCATCGGGGCACCATCATCATCATTACCAACATCAGCATCAACATCATCATCATCATCATCATCACCATCATCATAATCACCATCGGGACGCCATCATCATCAACATCATCATCATCACCATCATAATAATCATCATCGGGACGCCATAATCATCATCAACCTCATCATCATCAACATCATCATCATTGGGACACAATCATATTCAGCATCATCAACTTCAATATCATCATACTCATCATCATCGGGACACCATCATCGTCATCATCATGGTCATCAACATAATCATCATGATTGTCATCATCCTCATCATCGGGACACCATCAGCATCATCATCATCGTCATCATCATCATCGACATCATCATCATCATCATCGAGACACCATCATCATCATGTCATCATCATCGTCCTCTTCATCACCATCATCATCAGCATCACCATCATCATCATCATCATCATCGTCATCATCATCAGCAGCATCATCATCATCAGCATCACGATCATCATCATCAATATCATCATCATCATCATCATCATCATCTCATCATCATCATCATCATCATCATCATCATCATCATCATCATCATCATCATCATCATCATCATCATCATCATCGCGGGACACCGCGGGACACCGGCGGGACACCGCGGGGCACCGCGGGACACCGCGGGACACCGCGGGACACCGGCGGGACACCGCGGGCCACCGGCCGCCCGGAAGGGAATCATTTGGTCCGGCCGCGCCTCAGCCACACGGGACTTTCGCGGGACACCGGCGGGACACCGCGGGCCACCGGCCGCCCGGAAGGGAGTCATTTGGTCCGGCCGCGCCTCAGCCACAGGAGACTTTTTCTCGCCCGCCCACGCAGCTTCGCCTCGCCCGCACGCACGGCACGCACGAACACGAAACCGAAATCGATTTCCCGGTAGGGGGGCTCTCCGTTCCACTTCGATCTCACCCCCTCACCTCCGATATATACATATATATATATATATATAGCACGACATAGATTGCACAACATGGACTGCGCAAATTGCACCACAAATATTACACAACACATGCAGTACTACATATATTGCACCACTTAAACTGCATCAGAACTGGTACAACCCATCTCGAACCGCATAGATTGCATCACATGGGTTGCACAACCTATACTTCATAACCCAGAGTGCACAACGTATATATATATATATATATATATATATATATTGCACCACATCGAATGCGATTGCACCACCTATATATATATATATATATGTCATAACATAGGTTCCTAGAAACACGCAGTGTGGGGCCCATGCTGGCTCACCGCCACCGTGCCGCTGGGCACGGAGTGGGCCTCCTCGGGTCCCTCGCCCAATCATGCCTACTCCATTAAGCCGCAGTCCTCCAGTACATGGACATGATATTCGAACCCTGTGGCCCAAGATGCCCCCCAGACCCCCGAAATTAATATTGATGGCGTGGCGACGGGGGGGGCGTGAGTGGACAGAAATATTCGAACCCCCAAGCACCGCCTTTACTGAGATCAACATTGATGTCGGGGGCGCGGGGGTGATTTAGAATCTCCCTCAAATGTGTAAGGGTTCGAATCTATTGTCCATGTACGGTCACTCCTCAGGTGCCTTGAAGGGGCCCAGACCCCAAATTCTCAAATCCACCAGGGCCCCCGGCGTGCTCCCTGGGCTCCAGGGCGGCTTCCCGCGTAAGCTTGTCGGGCCCAAGAGGGCCCCAAGGCGGGCCCCGAGGGCCTCAAGAGGCCCCCAAGACTGCCCAAGTGGGCCCCGAGACGCCCAAAGATCGCACCAAGACGCCCAATATGTTTCGAAGACGGCCCAAGAGACCTCCGAGACGCCCCACGAAAGCCCCAAGAGCCATCCCAAGAGAGCCCCGAGAGGCCCAAATCCTTGATTAGCCCATAGGTTATTTAATTAGTTTTGGGTCCTGGACGACTTTTGAAACTCCGGACGCTCCAAGACGGCCCAAGAGGTCCTCAGGAGGGCCCCAACACGGCCGAAGAAGGCTCGAAGACAGCCCCAGAAGCGCCCCAGACGGCCCAAGAGAGCCCAGAGACAGCCCCAATAAGGGCCCAAGAGGGGGAACACGAACCCAGAATTCTATTCTTTCGCCCAAAGAGGCCCCCAAGAGGCCCCAAGACCCCCAAGAGGCCCCAAAGACGCCCCAAGAAGCCCCAACACGACCCCTAAGAAGCTTCAAAACGGCCCCCAAGAGGCCCCCGAGAGGCTTCACGCGACATTCCAACGAACATCCTAGATGCCTACGATCCACAACTCAGGCACGGTGGCGGACTTGGCCGAAGGCCATCAAATATTCATTACGTATATCCGCGTGGAACTTTCCGCCCTAAATCTGAAAATGAATGCGAAAAGGCGTGGGCCCAAAATTGCTGAATTCCCCAGGCATCCTGCGGCTTCGTGCATGACTTTTTCGGTGCCAAACAAAACACTAAAACTAAAGCTAGTCAAGAGAGACCACAAGAGGCCTCCAAGACGGGCAAGGAGGGCACTAACTCGCCGAAAGATCGCTCTAAGTCGCCCAAGATGGTCTCCAGACGACCCAAGAGGTCCTCAAGCAGCCCCAAGAATGCAAGCGTTCCCCCAGAGGCAAACATCCATGATTTTCCATAGGTGTATCCCTGATGTTAGCGCTCTTGCGGTTCTGGTTCCCGAAGCTCCATGACGGCTCAAGTGGCCCCCGAGATCGGCGTAAGACTGCCAAAAAGGCCTCCAAGAGGGCCCCAAGAGGGCCATCTGCTGGCCCAAAAGAACCCCAAGACGGCCCAAGAGGCCACCAAGACGGCCCAAGAGGGCCCCAAGAGAGGCACCAAAGAGGGAACACGAACTGGCATTCCGAGCGCTCCGCCCAAAGACCACCCCAGAGACCGCCAGCAGGCCACCGAGAAGCCCCCCGGAAGAGGGCCCCAAGAGGCCCAAACCAAACTCCAAGAGGCTCCAGAGATGCCTCCCAAGAGATCCCCACAGGCATTCAATAGACCTCGGACCTGCATCCCAAGGCACGGTGGCGGAACGGGCCGAAGGCAACAAGACCCGCCGCCCTGTGGTCTTGCCACAGGGGTGCACGGCGTGCTGGATGTCTGGGAGGTCTTGGTTCTTTTTCTAAATCGGCGGTGGACAAACCTCCCTTTAGTGAACCTCCCCTTAGTGAAAACGGCCTTGGACCGCAATCGACGGACCTGGACCCGCAAAAATAACGGCCGCGACGCCCTCTCGCGAACCGAAAACGGCCCATTCCTTAGTCGACGTGTCAGGGTAGGAGGTCGATCATCCTCCGAAGGAGCTCTCCCTGGGGTGTCGGCCCGACCCGCCGGCCACCTGGAGAGCTGCACAACATCCCCGGGGCCAATGCCTTTTCCCGCTCCACGTTGGCCCAGGCCAGACTCCGAGACGCCCAAGATGGCCTCCTGGACGGCGAAGATGTGCCCAAGGGAGCACAGGATGACCACACGATGCGCCCGACACTGTCCTGCTATGCACTCAAGACAGCCCCCCAAGATGGCTTCAAGATGGCCCAAGAGGCCCCCAAGAGGCACCCAAGACGGCCCGAGAGGTCTCCAAGATGTCCTTCATGAAAGCCCGAAGAGGCCGAAATCATTGAAACCCCGTAGGTAGTTGAAAGATGTTGGCATTTGCTTCTTTTCATCCTTCCGAAGGCCGAAGACGGCCCAGGAGGCCCTCAAGATCGCCCCAAGAGCGCCCCAGCGGCCTCGCCCCAGGACGGCCCACCCAAAGGGCTCCCACGACGGCCGAAAAGGCCCCCAAGACGCCCACGATGGACATCAATACGACCCTGAAGCGCCCCAAGAGGGCCCCACGACGGCTCAGAGAGGCTTCCAAGACGGCTTCCGACGGGCCAGGAACGCCGTAGGACGACTCTAGAGGCCCTCAAGAAGCCCCCAAAGGCCCCCAAGAGGCCCAAGGATGCCCCCAAGGGGCCTCCAAGAGGCCCCCTGGAAGCTTCCGGGAGGCCCCAAGAATGATCCCAAGAGGTCTCCTCATTCATCCTCCTTTTTCCTCCCTCTCCTCATCCTCCTCTTCCTCCCCAACGTCTTCCCCGAAGGGCTTCCACAACGGCTGGAGGAACGCATGGTCCAATAGCGTGGCCAGGCTTTACCCGAACGTTTGGCCACATAGGCGTACCCTCAAAGGAAGGAAAGGTGCGGCGGGGATTCGCCGCAGGCGTCCTCGATCCGCCGGCCCCCCCGTTTTGATTTATCGAAGGGTGCCTGGCGTGCCAGATGTTTGACTGTTTAGTCCTTTTTGCATCCCGCCGGCCAACCGGAGAGACCCAGAAAAGAAGTCCTCATTGCTCAAAGCGCCTCCAAGACGGCCAAGAGGACCCAGGATGGCCTCCAAGACAGCCAAGATGGCCCAAGATGGCCTCTAAGACGGTCCCAAGACTCCTCCAAGACGACCAAGACGGCCCAAGATACCCTCCAGGCAGCCCACGAGGCCCCCTAATACGCCCCAAGAGCGCCACAAGAGGTCAAAAAGGCCCAAATCACTGAGTTCCCATCAGCTTTCAATGATTTTGGCGTTCTCGCCCTTTTTGGGCTTCCGACGCTCCAAGACGATCCCATAAACCTGCTTGATCGCCCTAAGACGGCCCAAGAGACCCCCAAGAGGCCCGCAAGACGGCTCAAGAGGGTCCGAAGGCGGCCCAAGACGCCCCAAGGCGGCCCCACAGACATCCAAGACGGCCCTAACGCGCCCAAACAGGGACCCACGACTTCCCAGGGGGAGGGCCCCAAGACAGCCTCCGAAGGCCAAGAGGTCCCTGAGAGGCCCACAGAAGCCCCTACGAGACCCCAAGGGACCCTGGTTTTCCTCCTCCTCCTCCTCCGTCTTCTCATCCCTCTCATCTCATTTCTCGTTCTCTCCCAGGTGTTCCACCAATAGTCCAATATATTGGCCAGACTTTGGCCCAACGTTTGGTCGCATCGTCGTTTTCAAAAGGCAGGGGTCAGAGGTGGTTCGCTGTAGGCGTTTTCAGAGTGAAGGGGCCCGAACAGTTTCACTTCCTCCCTGCGTGCGCGTGGCTGGATGGAGGGCTACACCCGAAGGCTACACCAGGAAGCTACACCTGGAGGCTAGTTGCACTCGGGGCCTGCGCTCGAGAGATGCACATAGGGGATCACACGTGTGGGCCACGCGTGGGGGGCCACACCTTGGGGGTCTGCACTTGGGGGCCTGCGCTTGGGGGGGAGGGGGGCACACTTTGGAGGGGGGGATGTGGCCACACCTGGAGGGGCCACACGCGTGGGGGTCTACGCCTCGGAGGCCACGCGTGGGGGCCCACGCCTGGGGGCCACACGCCGTGGCCACACAACGGGAACGGCCCGCCTGCACCGCCGCCCCCTCGCTCCGATCCGCGAGTAGAGGGTGCCAGGTGTGCGCGCGTTTGGGTATGCTCATTTCTCTCGTTCTCTCTCTCTCTCTCTCTCTCTCTCCCTCCCTCCCTCTCTCTCACTGCGCCCCTTCGCTTGACACCCCAACTGTCGACTGCCGCCCTCCACCTCCACCTGCGCCATCGACGCCCTTCGCCTTCCCCTCCCTGTCCTTCTCCTCGCCTCGTCCTCCTCCTTCTCCCCCCTCCCCTCCTCACTCTGGAGGAGGAGGAGGAGGAGGAGGAGGAGAAGGCCCCCCCCCCCCCGGCGGCTTCGATTTAGGCCATAACTCGAGCCGTCGGCGGCCCTTCGGGGGCGATCGGGGCACCCGTGGATCGTCCTCGGCGAGGCGCCGCTGCTGGAACGCATCCTGGGGCAGAGAAATCTCTGGGGACAGACGACAACGCCAACAAAAGCACTGACGTCGAACTTCCCCACCTCCTCCCCCCCTCACCCGTTTTTTCTCCCACTCCGCACCAACCGTTCTCCCCCCCTCTTGACTTGTGGATGCCATGACAATGGACACTCTAAGAATCCTATAATTGAATTAAAAATGTGTTTGAAATGTGTACACCATGTTCTAAAAACGGTTCAAACATGTTTTACATATTAAGAACATGCTTGAAACATGTTTTAGACATCTGGAAATTATTTGGCAGCACGCGTTCTCTCCATTAGTCAACTTCCACAACCCTTCCCGGGACCTGCATCTGCTCAAACAGCAGCAGGGCAGTATCGGCCTGCCTGCCCTTCTCGCAGGAGCTGATCAGCGCGTTGTAGGTGATGGTGTCGGGGGTGCATCCTGCACGCAGGGGCTTCTGCTCAGCGTGTCGAGGCGGTGGTCCCGGCGACACGCCAGGCCTTGCAGGATAGCGTGCCTTAGCAGGCAACTCCTAGGAGGCCGCTCGCAGAAACAGTTTACAAACTGTTAAGCCAGATGACGGGGCCATTGAACCAAATTTGCCCCAATGTAACCGGGATGAAGCCAGATTTGATCGGATTCACGGAATTCAAAGGAAATCAGCGGGATGGCGCGGTTTCTCGGTAACGGATGCACCAGTGCAGATTCTGAATGCAACTTGCCCAAAGTTGCAATCCAAACGCACTGCTCCGCTTCGCGGGACAGGAGGCTCGGGAAGCTTCGGGACGCTTGACGCATGGGAATCGTGGAGTGGTCAGCATGTCGCGCTGAAGCCTGGTCGGAACCGGCGACGCGACACGCCAAGCAAACGCTCCTGGCCGTACGGTTAGGTCGGGCATGTCCTCCTACAGGCGGATTTTGGACGAACAATTAAAAATAGCAACCAAAATCTCACAAATATTAAATAGAACAATTAAAAATAGCAGCCAAAAACTCACACATATAAAATAATAGTCATGATAAAAATGTACCCAGACTACTTCTGCTGGACTATTTTTGGACCTTCCTCCTGTAGAGGGACACGCCCGGGCAGGGGTCGCCTCCCTCGCGTCCGCGGGGGCCCGCACCCGCGGGGGCCTCGCCTGGCCGCCACGTCCCTCCCTGGCGCGCGGGGCGCGCCGGGGGGCGGCGCCGGAGGCGCCGCCGGGGGGGGGGGGGGGGCACAGCGCGCGCGGATCCAAGAAACCCACGCGGAGCGCCAAAAGCTGATGCTTATCTGGGCAGGGACCGACCGTCCCTGCCACGAAACGTTTTTAGAGCCCGAAGAGGTTCTGAGAACAGGAACGCTGTCCTTAGAAAGAGTCTCTGCCAGAAATGTTCGAAGAGCATTTCTTACAGGCCACAGAAGGCTCTTAGAACATTCTCTGGTGGGCTGATAGGCGAGCCAGGACGCTTCGCCACTGATTGACCAGCAGCGCGGATCCAAGAAATCCACGCGGAGCGCCAAAAGTTATGTTTATGGCGTTTGCTCACGTTCAAAACTTGTGCTCACAGACCAACAGCGGCCGCTGGTGGGCGGGCGGCCTGCTGTCTCAAACGGACACGGTCCGCGGCGACGCCGACGGCGAATTCGGTTCAAAATGAACTGGAACTGCTGTCGGTCTTTGTACTCATTTTCTCCGTCCCCATTTCGATCGTCCCATTTGGATCCGCGCTGGGCCTCCCCCCGCGGCGCCTCCGCAGCCGCCCCTGGCGCGCTCCGCGCGCCGGGGAGGGGGGCCCAGCGCGGATCCAAGAAATCCGCGCGCAGCGCCAAAAGTATATAACTATGGCGTCGTTCTTCTTCGGAGCTTGATGAGCCTGCTTTCCACCACCACCACCCCCAATAAGTTGGAGGGGGGGACGAGGGGGAGGAGGAGGAGGAGCAGGAGGAGGAGGAGGAGGAGGAGGAGGAGGAGGAGGAGGAGGGGAGGGAAGAGAAGGGAAGAAGGAGGAGGAGGGAGGGGGAGGGGAGGGAGGGGAGGAGGAGGAGGGAGGAGGAGGGGGAGGAGGGGAGGGGGGGATGAGGAGGAGAGGGAGAGGGGAGGAGGAGGAGGAGAGAGGAGGAGGAGGAGGAGGAGAAGGGGAGGGGGAGGAGGAGGAGAGGAGGAGGAGGAGGAGGAGGTAGGAGGAGAAGAAGGAGAGGAGGAGGAGGAGAGGGAGGAGGAGGAGGAGGAGGAGGAGGAGGAGGAGGAGGAGGAGGAGGAGGAGGAGGAAGAGGAGGACCCCCCCCTCAAACTTATGGTGGTGGTGGAAAACATGCCCAGCGAAGCGCGCTCCCCGCCGGGCCAGGCGTGCCGTCGTGCCACCAGGAGCGTGCTCCGGACGGGGCAGACCCAACCTGCAAAAAGGATACGGGGGCCCGAAGAGCCCGGCGGAGCAGGGCTCAGGTCGGGCAGGTCCTCCTGCAGGAGGACTTGGGATGACAAACAAACCATTGTCAACAACTGTGCAAAGCATTGTCAAACCAATGGGTTTAACCAAGAAATGGCGAACAATAGCGGGGGGGGAAACATTGCAAAAAACATAACGTAGTCCAAGTTGCCAGCAACGATAAAGAAAAACTATAAAGAAACAAACAAACCAAAGTAGCTGTCAAACAGTGCTCCACCATTCTCGAAAACTCGCCGAAACATCGTCCCCGGGCTACTTTGGGAACTGTGCTGGGAGATTCCTCCTGCAGGGGAGCACGCCCAGCTCACAGCAAGGCCGCCCGCCCGTGCCCCTGCCTGTCCCCTTCGGAGGCGCCCACGCAGAGGCCCCGCGCGCCAGGGCGGCAGCCGACCCCCGCGGGAGCCCGAGCTCCGCCCCCAAAAGCCTCGCCGCCGAGGCCAACCGCACTGGCGGGTGGGCTCGCTCTCCACCGCCAACACCACGAGTAGGAGGGTCCTCCTCCTCCTCCTCCTCCTCCTCCTCCTCCTCCACCTCCTCCTCCTCCTCCTCCTTCTACTCCTCCTCCTCCGCCTCCTCCGCCTCCTCCCTCCTCATGCTCCTCCTCCTCCTCCTCCTCCTCCTCCTCCGCCTCCTCCTCCTCCTCCTCCTCCGTCCTCCGCCTCCTCCTGCTGCTCCTCCTCCTCCTCCGCCTCCTCCGCCTCCTCCTCCTCCTCCTGCTCCTGCTCCTGCTCCTGTTCCTCCTGCTCCTGCTCCTGCTCCTGCTCCTGCTCCTGCTCCTGCTCCTCCTCCTGCTCCTGCTCCTGCTCCTCCTCCTCCTCCTCCTCCTCCTCCCTCCTCCTCCTCCTCCTCCTCCTCCCCCCTCCTCCTCCTCCCCTCCTCCTCCTCCTCCTCCTCCTCCTCCTCCTCCTCCTCCTCCTCCTCCTCCTCGTCCTCCTCCTCCTCCTCCCTCCTCCTCCTCCTCCTCCTCCTCCTCCTCCTCCTCCTCCTCCTCCTCCTCCTCCTCCTCCTCCTCCTCCTCCTCCTCCTCCTCCTCCTCCCCCCCCTCCAACTTATTGGGGGTGGTGGTGGTGGTGGTGAAAAACAGGCCCATCACGGGCGGGTCCGAGGTCGGGCATCGAGCGAGCATCGGACGAGCTCGGGCCCTGCAGGGCTGCTGCCTTCAGGTGCCTCCGGGGCCTCGGGGCCCAGGCTTCTGCCACTGCGGTCCAGCGGCGGGTGCGGTGACGGACCGTGCGGTGACCTCGAAATCCCCCCAGACCTCACCGCACGGTCCGTCACCGCACGGTTTTGGGACCCCCGAGGCCCCTGTCGCCCGAGACGTCCTCGGAGAGTGACTCGAGTCCCAAGGCCGTGCGGTGACCCCGAGTCCCCACCGACTCACCGCACGGTGTGGTCACCGCCCCGTCTGGGGGCCCCCGCGGGCAAGAGAGAGCACAACTTTGTGCGGAGCGAGCCGGACACTCGGGCTCAGTGAGAGTGGCTGGACGACCCAGCCTCTCGCACAGGGACTCCCCCAAATCTCGCGAGAGATTCACACATATTGCCTGCGAAAGCCGCAAGTCATGGCATGAGCATGACCTTGGAGTGGGCCGCGCTGGTTTCTGGAGTCGGCGCTGGACCCCTCTGCCTGGCGCGCGGAGCGGGCCAGGAGCGGCGCTGGAGGCGCCGCCAGGGGACTCCAGCGCCGACGATCCAGGAAATTCGCGCGGACCTTCTAAAGTGCATGTGTGTTCAACGTTTTCCTGATGCAGTGTCGGTAGAGGGCTTTCATAAAAAAAGAACAAGTCGTTCCAGAGTCCTCCAGGTCGAACGGGGAGCCCCAGACCGCCCTGTCGGGCAGCCGTGTCGCCTCCGATGTCCTCCCAGTGTATGAAGGAAGCAAGCTCTCGCCTCCATGCCAGCTACATGTTGGGTCTGGGCGGCCCCGATCCCTCCACAAAAACATGCACTGCGGTGCACGTGGCCATGCCCTCACCCCTGTCCCGACTGGGAGTACACATTTCCTCTGGCCGACCTCCTGACTCCTACTCCTCGACCCGCCTCTCCACGACGACGACGACGACGATGACGTCATCGTCATCGTCATCGTCATCGTCATCGCCATCGTCCTCGTCATCATTGCTGCTCTTAGGGTGCTTTGCTGGGGTAAGTTGCCCCTCGACATGAGACCTAAAGCATGGTCCCTTCCCGGGGGCGAGAGCAGCCTGCGCATGGCCCAGCACTGTGCTGCCCTGTCCTTGGCGCAACATGGCCTCGAATAGCTCCAGCGCCCTCTCCGGCTGCCGGCTCTTCTCGCACGCCGTGATCGCGGTGCTCCACGAAACGATGGTGGGGGTGACCCTGTTGCCAGGCGGGGATGTATCCATTTCCACTGCCTGTGGAACCGACGTCCTGGGAACCCAGTTGGTGGTGGACATGGACACATCTTGGTCCCATTGGGCCCGACTCTATATAAGTATACATGTCCTCCGCCTGCCGAGGTTCCAAGAAATCGACCCCCCAAACGGCGGCTATGCATAAGTCACCGCCCCGGACCTGTTCTCCTGCATTTGGTCGAGCAGCCCGAGCGCCCTCTCGGGCTGCCTGGACTTCTCGCAGGCGCTGATGAGCGCGTTGTAGCTCACGGCGTCTGGCCGAATCTCTTTCTGCTGCATCGCGTCGAAGAGCTCCTGGGGCCTCTCCATGCCGCCACCCACACCACCCACCCTCATCCATCCCTCCTTCCCCGCAAATCCCTTCCTCCCACCTCCCTCCCTGCCCCCATTACATCCCCCTCTTCCCTCTCCATCCCTCCGCACTTCCCTCCAGCCCGTCCCTTCCTCCTCCTCCTCCTCCTCCTCCTCCTCCTCCTCCTCCTCCTCTTCCTCCTCCTCCTCCGTCTCCTCCTCCTCCTCCTCCTCCTCGTCCTCGTCGTCCTCCTCCTCCTCCGCCTCCTCCTCCGCCTCCTCCTCCTCTTCCTTCTCCCCTTCCTCCGCCTCCCCCTCCTCCTCCTCCTCGTCGTCCTCCTCCTCCTCCTTCTGCGCTTCCGCCTCCGCCTCCGCCTCCGCCTCCTACTCATCCTCCTCCACCTCCGCTTCCCTCTCACGCACTCCTCGAACGACCCCTCCTCCTCTTCCAGCTCTTCTTTCTCCCTGCCCCCACAAAAAAAAGGAAACAAGAACCGGGGGCACCCGAGAGGGCCCCCACCCCCGTCACTAAGAGGGGCCCCTGGGCGTTGGGGTTCTGGCCCCAAGTCCCGAACTGCGAAAAACGCCACCTACCAAACACAGTCTCCTTGAGAACTGGCCCCGTGGCTTCCCGCCTATATAACATGAAGTTCTAATAATTAATTAAATTTTAATAGGCGTGGAGACGTGCAAGCAGGGGCGGCCTGGCAGGGACGGTAGGGGAAGGAGAGGAAGACGAAAATGGGGCTTCGGGCCGGGGGCGGTCGTGGTAGTCGTCCTGGTGGGCGTGGAAGCCCGCGTGGTGGAGGTAGTCGTGGTAGTCGGAAAGGTGGTGGTTGCCGCCGGCGCTGTGGTAGTTGTGGTGGTTGTCGTGGCGCTGTCATCGTCGAGTTGCTGGGCGCCGGGCGCTAGTATTTCCAGCTTGTAGTGATCAAACCCATGGGGGGCGCGCGATTCAAAAAAGTTCCCCTGCTCGGGCGAATCGCGAGGGTGGCGCCCGCCAAATTAAAACACACGGGAGGCGGCGCCGGTGATTAGCGCCGACGCCCAGCTGCCAGCGAAACGGCGACAGAAACAATACAGAAACAGCGAGAAGGCGCCAAGGGAAGACGGCGCCCGCCCGCGGCTGCTGCGGGAGAGCCACGGGGAAGCGCAGCGAGGCGTGGCCAGGCGGGCCCGTCCTGTGAGAGGTGGTGGTCGTGCTGGTGGCGGTGATGCTGCTGCTGGCGTTTGCCGTGCTGGGGCTACTGGCGGTGGGAGTCGCGGAAGCAACCCGCTGCCCCTGACCGCCCCAGGGCGCTAATGATCATCTCCGCGTTCCCTTGTTGAAGAGTGCGCGAGATGTCCCGCCAGATTCAGCTCAGGAGCTCAGAATGGTCGGCGTCATCACGAGAGGCGCCGAACGAAGCTTACTGCCTCGTCGGACGGCCGCCCCCCGGTCTCGAAAACCATCGGGAGTAGGTCTAGGCCCTCTGGGGGGGGTAGCGGCCGCGTTTGTCCTCGACCATCTGGGCTGCTGCGAGCCCATCCTGTTCCGCTCGGGCGTGCCTGCGTGGGGCGTAGATGGAGCCTTCGCAGGCCACCGCCCAACCGACGAATATGGCTCGGCCAGTGCCGGGGTCGTGCGTCTGGATGTGCAATTCTGCCCCCAGTCCCGGGATTACGGCGGTCCCACGCCAACACCCGTCGTTCCGTTGGCGCGGTATGTCAGCATGTCCCGTGGCATCCTTATGCATAGTTGCATGTCGGTCAGGGAGGCGGTCGTGCCGCGCGACACGGGATTGGCCCACCTCGCATGACTTGGCTTGTGACCTGTGTGGGTCGAGACCCTCTCCGCACAGCGTGCCGCTGCGTCGTCGGCGTAAGCAGCGTAAGCCAGCAATGCAGACCAGCGCACGAAGCCAGCGTCTCCCCGTTGCCGCGGCTGGGGCAGCGCCCCTGCGCCCTAAGCCGCCGCACTCCCCGAGCGCCAGGCGGTCGTTCCCCCGGAGCTCCTGCAGCAGCCGTTCTCTGTTTTTTCCTGGAGGCCGCCCTGCTCTCCACGCCCTCTCCCGTCCTCCCTCCCTCCCTCCCTCCGCCCTGCTCCTCCTCTTCTTCCTCCTCTCTTCCTCCCTACTCCTTCCCTCCCGCTGCTCCCTGGCAATTTTGGCGCAGCCGCCCGCAGTGGGCGAAGCCCCCTGTCGCATGAGCCCGCTCGGCATGCCCATCCGTGCCCCAAATCTTGAATATTGAGCCGATGGAGGCGCGCTGCCGTTCCTTTAAAAATGGCACGGGCTGCAACGCCTGCTGGCGCAAATCCGGCGGCGCTTCGGCGCGCCCTGGGCGCGGCAACGGAGCGGCCATGCACGGACGTGCGCGGGCTGGTGGAGCTCGGCGGGGAGAAGACGGAAACAGAAGGAGGGCGAACCAGCGGCGCTTCGCCGCGCCTTGACCGCGGACACGGAGCGGCCCTCTGCAACATGCGCGGGCATCTGGAGCTCGGCGAGGAGACGACGGGAGCAGAAGGAGGGCAAACCGGCGGTGCGTCGCCGCGCCTTGGCCGCGGACACGGAGCTTGCTGAGCGCCCAGCGCTGATCGACCCCGTCCTCATGGCCCAGCCGATGTGGGAAGATGCGCGCTGATGGCAGCACGGAGGAGCACCGCCTCACACTGCTTCGACGCGGTTGCCAGCACGCTGGCGGCGGCTATGCTGCCCGAGCTCAACCCGCATCCAGCGCAGCGCCGGCGCCGGGCTCGGGCGCCCAGGATGGCGTCGAGCGACCTGCGCCTCGAGGCCCCTTGCTGTGCATCGTCCATGGGCACGCCCCGTGGAATGCGCTGCAGCCGTGGGGCCGCGGCCTTCTCCTCTTGTTCCCTGGCGTTGGGGCCTCTGGCAGAGGACGCTCTGCCGCCGAGGCCCCGGGGGCAGGCCATGGATGACCCGCAAGCCATCGGCGAATACGCTGCCGACGTGTCGGGCGGCTGCGCTCCTCCGCCGGGGAGCCCCCCAAGGCGGGACGGCTCCTGGGGGTGAGCGGGCACGGCTGGAGGTGGCAGCGCTGTGCTGCGCGTCGGCTGTCCCGGTCTCGGCCTCGTCGGTGGTGCCCCCGGACCTCCCCCGTGCCCGGTCCAGGCGGCGGCGCTGCCGATCGTCCACATGTCGGGCACGATGGCGATTCCAGCGACTCGGGCTCCGAGTCGCGCAGGCGGTCCGCAGAGGAGCACGACGAGCGCGAGGCACACGAGATGCGGGCGAGCCTCGGGGGATCAGGCTCGGACACGATAGTCCGCTCAGACGCGCAGCTCCTCGGCTGGGAGCTGGGCGACCTCTCGAGCCAGTGCGCCTCGCCGATCGAAGAAGGGGGCCACAGCAGCAGCGCCCGAGAAGCGCTTCGCGGCCGTGCCAAAAGTGCACTTCGCCCTCAGGCGAGCCGACGGCGATTGAGGAGCAGATCATTATGTGTCTGACACGAGTGCGATTCCAGCGAATGGGATTGCGACATGACCAGCGCAGAGCGCCCCGATATTGGACTGGATGCGGTTATGGTCAAGTGCCACTCGCTGATCGATCGATCACGGGGCCTCGGCAGAATCCTCTGAAGGGCAAATGCCGTCGTGCGCGAGGTGTGCACTGCTCTCGTGCGAGCCGACCAGCGTGAGTAAAGCTCGCCTCGCTGTCCAATCCCGCTCCTCGACGGGACGTCAGATCCTGGGGATCGTGTCTCCAAGACCAGCCAGCGACGGCGGATGATTGTCCCAGCCGAGGTCTGGGGTCGCTTCGCGGTTTCCCCAACCGCCCTCGCATTGTTAATAGGGTTGCTACAACCAAAAGCTTTCCGCAATGCCCCCTCCCACCTCTCACCGTCCTCGTCCTTCTGCACAGATTCCTCCTCTTCCGCACCTCCTCATCGTCACCGTCGCCCCTGCTCCTGGGCCTTCTCCAAGTCCCTGCCCCTAGCGCAGGCGCTCATCATCGCGTTGTACGTGATCACGGTGGGCTCGCAGTTGTCCCGCTGGAGCATGTCGAAGAGCTCGGTCGCCTAGGGCTAGGAGGGCATCCCTCCTCGTATCCCTCTGCGTCCTCCCCACTTTCTCCCGAGCCTCCTCCTCATCATCATCACCATGCTCATATCATTGGTATCCGTACGACGCATCGGTATTACTATTATTATTATTATTATCATCAGCATCATTATTAGTATTATTAGTATTACTATTATTATTACTAGTAATATTATTAGTACTATTATTACTATTATTATTATTACCATTCGTATTATTATTTTATTACTAGTATTAAGATTAGTATTATTATTAGTATTATTATTCTTTGTATGCTTAGTATCGGCAATGGTATCATTGGTGTTATTCGCGTTGATGGTATCATTCGTCTTCTGCTTCGTACGGCCATGCTTGATGCTACTAGTATTCTTAGCTTATCATTCGTAGTATCACATTATGTATGGCTGCTCTTATCATTCCGTCTTAACGTGATTCCTTCTCATCCTGCTTATCCTCCTCCTCCTCCTCCTCCTCCGCCTCCTCCTCCTCCTCCTCCTCCTCCGCCTCCTCCTCCTCCTCCTCCTCCTCCTCCTCCTCCTCCTCCTCCTCCTCCTCCTCCCCCTCCCCCTCCTCCCTCTCCTCCTCCTCCCCCCCCAGCCCCCCCAGCCCCCCAGTCGCCGTCGCCGTCGCCGCCTGTGGCTACCTGTTTTTCGATGCATGGACCTCATGCCCCTTCGTTGGCGCGCGCGCGCGAGGCCAACCTGGAAGAAGAATCCGAGGATCCCTAGCAGCCCCCCTCACCATCGACTCTGGCAGGACCGCAGTAACTCTTACCACACCTGCAGACGGGTGCTTGGCCAACAACACCGTCCCCGCGCCGCCCCAGAACGGGGGTGGCGCCATGCTGACGGGGCCAGAGAGGAGAGAGAGAGAAGGGAAAAGAGAGGGGAAGAAGGCGGGCGTGCATCGATGAGCAGAGCTGACATCTTACCCATCCCGCCCGTCCCTTCCCATTTTGCTGCAGTCCGTTCTAGCCGTGGGGCGTCCTAGAGGACCTCAATCCCCAAGATGGCCCGATTGTGTGGCGCAGTCGCAGACGCGGAGGCTTTGTAAATTGAAGGAAGAGGTGGCGGATGAGAAGAAGGATGAACAGGAGGAAAACGAAGATGAGGAAGGAGCTGAAGGCATTCGCCTGCTCTTCACTCTCCCTCTGGCTCACCCACCGTCTGGTGCAGGGCTCTACCTGACTTGACCTGATTACCCATCCGTTCCCGTTGCGAAGATGTTTCTATGTCAGGCGAATTGCGCAGATGTTTCTATCAGGCGACCGGTGCCATAGCGGACCTGGAGTCCCCAAAGCGATCCCATCGTGTTGTGCGCAGTCAGGAAGGGGAACCGTGTACGTTGGAGGAGGTGGCGGTGGATGAGCAGGAGGAAGAGTTTAAGGACAAGGAGGGAGGAAGAGGAACAGCAGCAGCAGCAGTAGCAGGAGTAGATGGAGAGGCATGAGTAGGAGGACCAGGGGAACGCGGAGGAAGGGGGGAGAGGAGGGGGGGCGACAATGACAGGGAAGGACTACATGTGGCCCGCGCTGGGGCGAGATCGCAATTCTGCACAAAGGGAGCACAGCGCGATCCTGAAATGGGGCCAGGACTGCAGAGGGAACACCACGTTGAAGCATCACAAACGTTCCGCCATCCCTCAAAAATGAGGTTAACAATAGATTTGCGAGCCCAGTGCGAAAGCGTTACTACACAGGAGAGGTGGGGCCCCGCTCGAACAGAACCCGGGGAGAGGGGCAAGTATCAGTCATATTGGGCACGTGTAGAGATGAGGGAGGAGATGAGTGAGGAGGGGAAAAGGACGATAACCAAGAGCTGAAGGAGGAGATATGAGGCAGAGGAGGAGTTTGCAGAAGAGGGAGGAGTTGAGGACGAGGAGGATGGGGAGCACGCAGAGGACGAGGAGGGGCGACCACATGAGCAGGTTTGGCCCACACAGATGGCCCAAGACAAGCAATATCTTCTTGCAGAGCGTCCCACCCTCCGCGGGGGGAAGTGGCGGTCACTATCCCGTCCAGTAAAACAGCGATCGAGCATCAGGGGCACGGCCCACCACCCATGCCGATGGAGGGGGAGCCTGGAGGTAGGAAAGGGGTGTGGTGTAGAGGTGCCAGTGCTGGATCTGGCGAGAGAATATATCGTTGGCACCACACCCCTTTATGCCACACCCCTTTCCGACCGCCAGAGGGAGGAGGAAGGGGGGACCACAGGACCAATCCGCCAGCGGCTCACGGCAGCGCAGCCCGAAACACAGCCGCGCTTGCCAGTTCTCGGGCTGGCCAATGTCCTCCTCCTCCTCCTCCTCGGCCTACTCCTGTACGGCCTACGCTACGCCCTCCTCACCCCCCCCCCCTCATCATCTCACTCCCCATCCCCACTCCGACTCGCCATCCTCACCATGTTCCTTTCATACTCTCGCCTCCCCGTACTAGTACTATTCCGTAGCATCCCCCTCTGCTCCTCCTCAAAGTCATCACAAGTGCCGTGCTAGCCCGTACCATCATCAACATCCTCAGCAGCAGCATCATCATCACCATCACCATCACCATCACCATCACCATCACCATCACCATCATCATCATCATCATCATCATCATCATCATCATCAGCATCATCATCAGCATCATCAGCATCAGCATCATCATCAGCATAATCAGCATCAGCAGCATCATCATCATCAACATCATCGTCATCATCAGCATCAGCATCAGCATCATCATCATCACCGTCATCATAATCACCAGCAGCATCATTTTCGTCATCACCATCACCATCATCATCGTCAGCATCATCATGAACAGCATCGCCACCGTCAGCATCCTCAGCATCAGCATAGCAGCATCGTCATCATCATCGTCATCAGCATCATTATCATCGTCAGCATCATCATCATCATCATCATCATCATCATCATCATCATCATCATCATCATCATCATCATCATCATCATCTGTATCACCAACATCGCCACCAACACCACAATCGTCATCAACCTGGTCAGCAATACAATCATCATCATTATCAGCCTCGTCAGCAGCAGCATCAGCAGCACCAGCATGAGCAGCAGCTTCATTATCAGCATCATCGATGGTATCATCATCAGCATCATCATCAGCAACATCATCAGCAACATCATCATAATAATCATTACCGCCACCACCACCACCGCAATCGTCATCAGCCTAATCAACATCACAATTATCATCATCAACATCATCATCATCAACGTCGCCATCACCATCATGATCACCAACATCACCGTCATCATCGTGGTAATCACTCGCAACCGCGTGCTCCACATCATTATCACAATCCGAGTCTCCGTCCCAGTCCCAATGATCCTCACCATCACTATGAGCAGACAGATCGCCACGTCCCCGAGTATCATGATCCTCCCGATCCTGCTTCTCCTCCGCATCTGATACTAGCATTCCTGAGCATCCTATCCTTCTCCTCACTCGCCCCGCTACCGCTCGGGATCGCTTCTGGGCCCACTGGCCCTGGAGCGGGTAGTGTGGGCTGTGGCCTTGGCAAGGTTGTTGCCCTTCTCGCACGCGCTGATCAGCGAGTTGTAGGTGATCACATTCGGCGCGACGCTCTCGGATCGCATGGTGTCCAGGAGACACAGCGCTCGCTCGGGCTGCTTGCCCTTCGGTGAGCAGGGACTGACCGTCCCGGCATTCCTATAGGCCTACTGCGACATGTTCTTAGAACCCAAAGTGTTCCAATAACAAAAACAATGTTCTTAAATCATAGGCCCGGTGCGTTAAAACACGACAGTCTCAGCCAGATATGTTCTAAGAACATGTCGCACAAATAACACAAAGCTCTGAGAACATTCTTTGGTGGACCTATAGGCGAGCCAGGACGCTTCGCCACCGATTGACTTTGGGCGATGCCACCTCCTCCACCGTGTCCTCGCTTGCGCATCCCCGCACCATGCTGCTCATGCTGCTGGTCATCCTTCTCCTCTACACCCTGGCTCTCCCGTCTCCCCCTCTACGTGTCCGTCCTCCTCGTCATCCTTATTATGACCACCTCCTCCGATGCCCTTCTGACTGCCCCCTGTTCAGCATCCTCACATCCTGGCCCAGAACCTCCTGATGGTAATTCTCTTCCTGCTCCCACTCCTGCCTCGGAATGGTCGCCGTCTGCAGCGACCCGCGATTGGCCTGCAGGCGATTGTCCACAGAGCACGGGGTCGGAACGCAGTCGCGTGCGGCGTCGCGCGAAAGGCTGTGCCGATGGGCGATCGGTGGTCCAGATCGCCATCTGGGATTCGACCCCACGGAGTTGGTCGAGGTCGGGACGCTGGGCGTCGGCGACTGGTGGGCTCGAGCGGCTGTGTAGGGAGGGAGTGACCTGGCAAACGGCAAGTGCCTATGCCGGGGAAACGTAAGATTCGAGTACGCCGGAACTCGGGTTGGCCGACGCTCTTTGACGAGCATGCCCTGGATTTTGACTGTCCAGCTCTCGTGGGGTGTTTGCAGCGGGAGCTCGCGTCAAACTTCAGATTGTCGACTGATTTGTGATGGTGCCACGATTGAATTCCGAGGGCGCCCCGCCTGGTCTGTGGATGATGTGCGACTGTGTCCTCATGATATCCCGATTGATTTGCGATGGTGCTCCGATTGATTTGCGATTGTATCCCGGCCGTCTTGCGAAGGTCCCTGGTGGGCTGGCGGCTGGTGGAAGTCAAGTGCGCGTGTGTGACCACGAAAAAACACATCCCCAATCCCAAAATCGCGGATTCACCGAGGATTCGAAGATCGGCCAAAGATTTCGGGGTATGTTTTGCGTTCGTCGTCGTCGCCCTGGCAAAACCTACCCCAAAATCTCCCTCCCCGAAGTCTCGAGGAGCCTGCATTTTGTCCTGGCCCTCGCGTTTTTGGGATTGGGCACCTGTCTTGACTTAGTGAGTGTGTGGGTCTCGTCATCTGAATGGTGGCCCCGTCGGGCCAGGCCGCGTCCCCCGAGCCCGAGACCTGCGTCTCCCCGGCCATGGGCGCATCGCCGGAGGGCCCCGCCCCGCCTGGGGCGGCGCTGGCCGGAGGCCGGTCTGGCGTGCGCTTGGAGGCGCACGCGGAGGCATCGCCAGGGGGACGAGCCTCGCCCAGGGCGGCGCGCTGGCCAGATGTCGGTTTGATCAGAGCGGTAAGCTCCGCTGGCGCTCGCCCCTGCACGTCAGAGCGCGAGGGGGGGGGGTGCGGAGGGCAGGAGACGAGGGAGGGGCGGGATTGGGCAGACGCGTGGGGCGGGCGGGGTGGAGATGGGGAGAGAGAGGACTAGGCGCAGCGGGGGGTGGGGGAGGAGGATGAGGAGGGGAGTGGAAGGGATGAGGAAGAGAATAGGGAGGGAAAGGGAAGCAGGAAGCGGCAGAGGAAGTAAAGAGATTAAGGTGTGAGAGAGAGAGAGAGACAGACAGACAGACAGACAGAGAGAACAATAGAGAGAAATATAACAAGATCTATAGATATAGAGAAAGAGAGGGAGAGAGAGAGAGAGAGAAAGAGAGAGAGAGAGAGAGATAGGCAGAGAGAGAGGCAGGGGAGGGAGGGAGGGGGGGAGGGAGAGAGGGACATGAGAGGAGAGGGAAAGAAGGAGAGGAAGGGAGAAGGGTAAGGGATGGAAAAGAGAGAAGGGTGAGACGGGAGAGACGGGAAAGAAGGGCGAGAAGGGATAGAGGGGAGGAGAAGGGAGAGGGAGAGGGGAGAACGGGAGGGAGGGGAAAATAGGGAAGGAGAGCAAAGGACGACTCGCACCCGAGCGTTCTGGCCGCAGCTCTGGCCCGCGGGGCGAGACCCTCTGTGAAGCATCCAGAGTCGAAGCATCTCTTTCCCGAGGGTGCGCGCACGCAGGACTGAACCCCTGCAGTAAGAGCCCACCTGCTTGGCAAGCGGGAGGGGAGAACGAGAGGGGAGAGGGGGAGGCAGGGGAGGGGGAGAGGCAGGTGCAATGGGGAAGAGGAGGAGCAGCAGAAGGGCGGAAGCGGGTACTCCACCCCGAGCCTTCTCGCACGCGCTTATGGCCGCGCTGTAGGTAATGACGTTGGGAGAGACCCTGCGATGGCGCATCAGGTCCAGCAGTGCGAGCGCGTCCCCCCACTGCTTGTTCCTGGGATCCTCCTCTTCCGCCTCCTCCGCTTCCTCGTCGTCGTCGTCGTCGTCGTCGTCTTCCTCGTCCTCCTCCTCCTCCTCCTCCTCCTCCTCCTCCTCCTCTGCATCCTCCTGCTCCTCTTCAAACTATAGATTCCCTCCGTCTCATCATCGTCAATCCTAATGTACCTCCTTCCTCCCCTTCCTCTTCGAGCCGAAGAAGGGCGCTGGCACAGGAGTCCGAGGAGGTGGAGCAGGAGGTGGAGGGAGGTGGAGGACGAACAGGAGACGGAGAAGGAGAAGGAGGCATAGGAGGAGAAAGGCGAGGAGACAGGGGAGGATGAGAAAGAGACGGGGGATGAGGAGAAGGAAGAGAAAGGAAGCAGAGCAGGAGGTGGAGGAAGAATGGGGGATGAGGCAAATGAGACGATGGTGATGATGGTGGTGGTGATGATGGTGGTGGTGATTGAGGTGATGATGGTGATGGTGACGATGACGCTGATGATGATGATGATGATGATGATGATGGTGATGATGATGATGCTGATGATGCTGCTGATGATGATGCTGATGGTGATAATGATGATGCTGATGCTGATGTTGCTGCTGATGATGATGTTGATGATGAGTGATAATGATGATGGTGAGGAGGAGGAGGCGGAGGAGGAGGAGGATGTCGGTGGACATGATGAGGAGGAGGGCGAGAACGAGCAGGAGCAGAAGCAGGATCATGAGGAGGCAGAGCGCTGAGAAGGACGATCATGCATGGGAGGGACAGGCGATGAGGATGCAGAGAACGAAGAGAGAGAGAGAGAGGGTGCGGAGGCGGCAAGAGTCTCACCAGCCCCGTGGGCGTAGGTGATTTCACGAAGTGGGTTTTTCTCTGCCGAACCCCTCCTTCCCCTGCTCGGAGGAGGGGCTTGCCCCTCCCCCAGCCCCCTCGCCTGGGCCAGGGGAGGGGGGTGGGCGGAGGGGCTAGAGCGCCCAAGATGGCCCAAGATGGCTCCAAGAGGGTCTCAGGGAACCCACGATGGCCTCCACGATGGCTCAAGATAGCCTCCGACAAGCATCCAAGCGGCCTCAAGACGGCCCCATGGCAGTTTCGAGTGCCCCCAAGTCCTCCACGGACCCCCCCCCCAGGGGGCCAAACTGGCCCGTCAACCGAAGGAACATCAACGTGTGTTTGCCTTCTCGCCATGTTCGCTTCCAGTGGACTCTTGAGGCAGTACGACGGCCCAAGGGAGCCACAAGAGGGGCCCACGAAGGCCCCAAGAGGGCCCAAGAGTGCCCCAGGTGCGCCCCAAGACGGCCTTAAGACGCAGTGTTTGAGCCTCCGAGGGGGGGGGGGGGGGCTGAAGCTGTTCCCCCTTCTTTTTGAACAGTGTGCCCAAAATTCCCAAGAGGCCTCCCAGCCCCCACCCCCACCCCCCCAAGGAGCCCGAAGAGGGCCCCTGGATCCCCCAAGAAGAGCGCCAAGAGGGCCCCAAGAGTGTCCCAAGTGGCTCCGAGGGGACCCCAAGAGAGACTCAAGATGGTTCCAAGGCGGTTGTTACATTCCATGCGTCTGCACTTCCCTGATCAAAGCAACTCGCCTTGCGATCTGTTTCTGGATGGGCTGGAGGGGATAGTTACGCGGCGAAGCGTCAAGAATGGGAGGAGATCAAGGGGAGGAGGAAGAGGAGGAGGAGGAGGAGGAAGAGAAGGAGCGGGAGGAAAATCAGGAAGAAGATACGAAGCAGCCAGGAAATCAAGAGGATATGTACAGAATCTCCCTCTGAATTCTGTAGGTCCGTGCGATAGGATACGAGCCACTTGGTGGATTCCGAGAACCGCTCCAAGGCTCGCCCGAATCTCTCTGGCTAAGCCTGTCAACGCGAACAGGCCCCTCACATGATTCATTCCCCCTCTCTCCTCCCTCATATCCTCATACACATCCTCCTCCCTCAGATTTCCGGTGATGCTCCCCATCATCGACAACAGCATCCTCCTTCCCAGCATCAAGAACCATACCGTGCGTCTTATCATCCTCCTCATCCTCACACTCCTCTACATCCCGGAGACAACACCTGGAAGCGTAGAGCACGCAAAAATCTCGATCCCAGGAATTCCCGGAGCACCAGCACCGGCAGTAGCAGCGGGAGGTACACACGAGCATTTCAGCCTAAGGGCGGGAGGGAAAGGAGTAAGGGACCGAAGTCTATATACACCGACAATTGTTCCGACCCTGCACCGAAATTTGCGCAGGAAAGCGGATCATGGTGTATACGGGACCCTGGTGTATGCATTTTCGTTGTACACACCACACCACCCCGACGTCGCCCCCGATCCTGAAAAAGTCCTGGGATTGAACAACAGCCCGCTACTGGTAATGAACATGTTTCAATTTCCGGTTGAGGAGGCTGGAGGAGCAAACGTAAAAAGAGCGGGACGGGCAGGCGAAGGGAGAAGGAGGGAGAAGTACCAGTAGAGGAGAACCAGCAGCAAGATGGACGAGGAGCCGCAGCGGGAGCGCGAAGGACAGGGGAGACTGTCTACTCTGTGCCGGGCCAGATCACCAGAGCCGGACTTCCACATGGACGCAGCGATCGTTCGATCTATATCAGGGGGCGGCGAAAAAGGGGATGCGTATATGATTGGCACACACGGAGAAGGGGGAGCAGGAGGGACAGGAAGACTGGAATAGGAGGGATGGATGGACGGATGGAACACCCGTGGGGGGCGGTGCGTCTCAGCGCCATGGCTTTCGAAAGCAAGGTGTGCTGCCAGAGTGTCCCCCTACGTACGCAGGGGAACGCTCTGGTAGCACACTTGCTGTGTGTTTGGAAGAACGTGCGTGAATTTGAGAGAAGGTGCTCAGGGGCTTGAATCACAGACCGCAGCCTAGCTCGACAGCATGAGAGATTCGAGAACGCTCTCGCACTGGAAGACCTCTGGCAAGAACGCATGCGCAAATCCGGCCTGGCTCGGTCAATTCGGCTTGCCCCGCGTGCCCCGAGAAGGACGATATAACGACGACGACAACGAGATGGACAAGAAGAACGGTAATGATGGAGACGAAGAGGAGGGCGACGAAGGGCTGGGGATCAAGATGAGCAGAACGATGCGGAGCAGCAGCAGGAGCAGGAGCAGGAGCGGCAGAAGGAGCGACGAGGAAGGGGTCACAGATGACAAAGAAAGACTAACGTTGCCCTCTAAGGCCGTTCCAGCGGCAATGTAGGTTAACGGTATGGTAGGGCATCTCATGCTGTGACACCGAGCGCGCGCAGAAACAAACCATACGACATCATGAACCACACGTTCCTGCATTTCAAATATGCTAGCGTAGTGAACGAAACGACACAGCGAATTGTAGGAAAGCGCGAAAGACGCTTTCCGACCACTGGTTTGACAACGGACCACTCACACCTACAATGCTGAAACCTACAACGCCATTATGTTTGTAAAATACCGTTCGCCCGTCTACGGCTTTTGGTTGTCGGGCCGTCACTCGGCTCTCTGGCCTGGCGGCCGCTCTGAACGACGGGGAATTCCCAGAAGCCTCTCGGCGAGGCGCAACTGCTAGAAGGCATCGCGACGCCGAGAAACCGCCAAGAACCGCCGAAAGAGTCCAAAAACCGCTAACCTCGATTCCGACAGCGACGAAGATTACCTGAGGAGGGCCAGGAGGACGACGATCCTCCCGTGCTGGATGATCCTCTTGGTGAACCACGGCAAGTCCACCTGCGGTGGGACGCCTCCACCGCCTGCGGCACGGCGCGCCCTACCCCTCCCTCCTCCCAGTTGAGGGCCGAGGGGGTAAGATGTGGCGGAAGGGGAAGCATGGAACAGGAGGGTGAACACAGAAAACCTGAAGGAGCGGGATAGAAGGAGGAAGTGGAAGGGGAAGCACGGGAACCTCCATTTCAATA